GAGAGAAGAGAAGAGAAGAGAAGAGAAGAGAAGAGAAGAGAAGAGAAGAGAAGAGAAGAGAAGAGAAGAGAAGAGAAGAGAAGAGAAGAGAAGAGAAAAGGCTGGCTTGAGGATGCCTGACTCTAGAAATAAACTCCCCAATCTTTCATTCAGAGCTCTTGCCAGGTAGAATTCTCCAGGCTGGAACTGAGCTTTCTGAAGTGCAACCTATTTCATCATTTGTCCTTTCTATGAACCATGTAATTTCCAATAAAATCATTCTCAGTGAGAGAGAAGCATTTAGAACTTGAACATCTGGTATGGTCAGAGATAGAAGGTGTTTCCTGGATTCATAAGACTTTTCAGGATATGGAGAAGAATCTGTAGTAAGGCATTCAGTGCTTGTTCATTTCTGAGATTTTTATGAGTTGGAAGAGGAATAAAAAGAGCCTGTATTCATTCTTGCGAGAAAAATGGGAGAAACAGTGACGTTTCAACAGAAACAGGTGTCAGCAGAGTGAATGGTGGTATGGTTTGAGTCTGGATGTCCCCCCCCGAGCTTCACGCAGACGTGGGGGGCACGCTTCATCAAAGGTAGCTGGATCTAGAATTTGCCACTGATCCCTAGTGCGATGCTGGGATGAAGAGTGCTGAGATTAAGGCTGGGTGACTGCGGGATAACTCCACTGATTAGATTGGCATCACTCTAGTCCCAGCAGTCTGGATAGGAGAAAAGGGGCAGCAAGATGTTTGTTTTTCTCCTTTAGCGCTTGCTGGTTTTGCTGCCTTCCCCCACCCCAGCCACCAAGAACTGCTACCCCTCACCCTGTGCCACTCTGTCACATAGCCAACCAATTATGGACTGAAATCTCTACTGCAAGCTGAGTAAATGTTTTCCTCTTTAACTTTGGGCATTGGATATTTTGTCCCAGCCATGGGAGAAAAGCAACTAAGATAAACAGTAATTTTCTCAATGGGTAGCCTTTCGTTCCAATCTCAGAGCCTTACTCTGTGGAAGTGTCCTACGGAGATTTATGACCTCTCTTCCCCTGCGTGAACACACAGACACCCATGAGAATCAGAGATATCCAGAGAAACACCTCACGATCCTGTTTGGAGCCCTGAGCTTTCCATCAGACTAAGGAACAAATGTCTAGGATCAGCAGCCTCTCCAAATTTCCTGAGTAGCTTTTTCCTTTTCTCTTTTCCTGCTTTGAGTTGTCATGGCTGGGGTTCTCTGGGCTGGCAGAGACCTACTGCGAGTCCTAGATCTTCCGTGGCACAGAAGTTGTAGGTGCAGCTCTTACTCCTGCTCTTCTTACTTGCTAGGCTGGCCACAAAACCTGCCGCTCCCTAGCATCTTGTAGCTGTGGTGAACCTCCCAAGGGCTGGCCGAGCCCCTGCATGGTGAGAGGCAGATTGTACCTGATTAGTGCCCCAGAGCGCCCAGGCTACCTAATCTGCTAATCTGACACGTTCATTTTTGGAGGGATTCAGTTGACAGCACAGCAAAATGAACAAATTTTCAGTCCGGTTAGCAAAAATGGTAAAATCAATCTTCGGTAATGGAAATATATTTGTAAAGCCCAAACTATTCTCCTTTTAAAAAAATGTTTTAAAATTTATTGTTGTATTTGGTACAGGGTCTCATTACACAACTAGGTCTGGTAGTGAGCCTCCTGTCTTAGCTTCCCCAGTGCTGGGATTATGGGTGTGCACCACACCCAACTCGGTGTGGGCTCCCCGTTTGCAGGGGTGGTGTGGGCGTGGAACCTGGGTCATTTTGCTTGCCAGGCAGTTAGACCCCTGGGCTATCTCCCTGGCCCAAGCTATTCTTTATATCATTAGGTCTGGCAGGGCCAGTTAAAGCTGCAGTACTGCAAAAAAAAAAAAAAAAAAAAAAGGTCTGGTAGATTTAACAGTCTATTTGTTTTGTGAAGAGCTGCTGAGTTTGTAATTTAATTACATGTGTGATGATATATAATTATTCATTATGATGCTAAATTGAAGTAATTTCAAAATAACACCGCATGGTGGACAAAGCAATTAATCATGAAAATTTAACTTTTTATTCCATTGTTTTTCTTGTAAGGGAAAGGACAAGCAATTAGAATTGTGTAGGTTAATAAAAACTCCTTGTTTCCAAGACTTTGTGTATCTTGGCCCACACGTAGCACCTATGATTTATTCGTTCTTATATGGCAGGAAAGGAAAGATGACTGGAAAGTGGGAAGGAAAGGGGAGGGGAGGGGAGGGGAGGGAAAGCTAGCATAAGCCTTCTAAGATTCCTCCCAGCCCAGGCCCTGCCGAGCGGTTTACCTTGCTCCAGTTTCCCACTTGCCAGCCGGCGCATGGGCGGAGGTGGCATTTCTTGGCAGGGTCGGGCCTCTGCAAGGTGGCGCAGTCGGCTTCCACCTGCGTGCTGCACGTCACGCTTCTCCAGTAGGCGCCCAGCCCGCACGTGGTGGAGCACTGCAGGGATGAGAAGACAGAGGCTGAGGGCAGCTTGCATCCCTGGGCCCCTGGGGGAGGGGGCTATCTGTTCCAGCTGCTAAAACAGCCTGCAGAGCGTTTTGGTGAGATTAGTGCTGAGGCCGCGACCATCACCAATGAATCTGAATCTCCGGATGTGGAGTTCAGGGACCACTACAAAAATGTTTTTCCCCAGATGTCTTTAGGAAGCAGTAGAGTTGAGAATCCTGACTTATATGTAGGAGAAAAACTCAGCGCAACTGGAAATACGTTCGATTTTAAAATATATCCTGGCATGAAGGCCTAGTGGGCTGCAGACATGCTGCTGTGTTTCCTATCAATGTGCTCTGCGTGGATGTGAGTTCCCAGCATGCCTATCTATCTAACAGTGCAATGGCGTCATCTCACTAAATCTTTTCTATATGATGTAGACTGGTGTCACTGTAATGTAGATGAATAACGCCTAGAGTTGACTTGCCCAAGCAGTAAGATGAGGTTTCTGCCTTCAAAGTCCTGTATAATGTGCCCTCAGCAGGGTTCCTCAATCTCTACAGTCTATAGGAAACATCCGGGTCTTACCGAATGCAGGTTCTGATGTAGATCTGTAGAGGGACTGACATTCTGCATTTCTAATAAGACCCCAGTGACGTCATTGCCTTGGACCCTGAGACATTTGGAATTGGAAAGATGCCACAAAAAGATGTTTTCGGCATTTGATTCACAGGTGGTGACTGGATAGGTCATCTTTTGCCAGGATGGATAGCCAATTTCTTTCCGGATGTTTTGATTTGCTTACAATCTTTAAATATCCCAGGTTTAGCTCAGGGTTACCTTGAATATTATGCAAAATTTCCCTTGTAATTTCTTCCACTTTACCTGCCTTTTTCTTACATAGGGTTGATTTTTCTTGCTTCCTTTTTTCTGCTTATTCTAAGAAGAGGGGTTGTCTCTGGATACATGAAAGATAGCTCTGAGGTTACTTTTAAAAGAAGTTTAAGAAATTCCATTTTGAATGTTTCTTTTGATGAGTCTTGTTTAAACCAATATAAGTCTTGTTTCTTTTGCTGCATCTCAATGCTCCATATAATTTGATGTTTCATTTGATGCAAGCTCTCTCTCTCTCTCTCTCTCTCTCTCTCTCTCTCTATATATATATATATATATATATATATATATATATATATATTTATAGAATTCCTAGGATATAGAAATTGTGGAATGATAGAAAGGAAAGAGTACAAATAGCCTATGCCATCATCTTATTCAAAGCCTCATTTACATAGAGGCAGTCTTGTCCCCTCCTTAAAAGTCTATGGAATTTGATTTGTATCCTTCCTAAGCTCCATCCTTCTCCTCTCCACTACTCTATGCATCCATATGGTGGAGATGATAACAGCTGCAGTGCGTGGACCACAGACTGCACCAGTAGCCCTCCTCCCCAAGCTCCTTTTCATCAACATGCTTTGCAAAAGGCCTTCGTAGCTTCTTTCCTCAAGAGATGAAGTCTACTTCCTCAGCTCTTGAGTTAGGGCTGTTTTTTGTCTTGGCTGAGAGAATGCAGTTAATGATGTGCTAGTTCTCTAAAGGTCTTACTTTTTACTCTAGTCCTTTGATCCCTACCTTACCATGAGATTAAACCTGGGCTACATGCTGCCGGAGGATGAGAATTTATGTGAAGCAGACCCAGACAACCCAGCCCAGGCCATCCGAGACCAGACAGCCTTCAGCTGACCCTTCAGCTGACCCTAGCAAGCCAGGCTGAGATCAGTAAAATCTTTCAGCCGAGGGTAGTTACATTTCTGTGGTTGCTAACAGTGTAAGCTTTTAGTTTCCTAACTCTCCGAAGCCTGTAAACTGATGGCAACACTAGGACATGCCCCCTTCAGTGGGGTGTTTTAGGGACTGATAGAGACAGCTTGTGTACATGCTGCACACACTGTCTGTGCTCTATCAGACACCACACACTGTGAGCCCAGGTACTGCCCCACCTGCCAGGTACTGGGGACAAACGGTTTAGGAACCATGCTAAAGGTGATATGGACAGAATACTGTTAGTTGTGTATAATGATGTGGAGGGAAAAATATGACATTTGGCCAAATCCACAGAAATTTTTGAGACACAATTTCCAGGTCAGCAATAATGTCATTAAATCTCAAGTGATGGATTAGTTGTTCATACCACATTTATATTGTAAATAAATGCATATTGCCTCTGAGATTCTGAGTCCATCCTACTCATGAGAAGAAATTTGTTTACTTCTTTTGATGGTTTCTATTTAGGCAACAAACAACAGTCCAGGGGAAAACTGAAAAGAGGAAGCTCATGAACATAGTAGAAATGAGATTTTGTCACTTAGGTTTTTATTTATTAAATTAGTTCCAAGTTGGGAGTGGGAGAAGGGATAAGAAAAGACCCTGGAGAGGTGGAGGAACAGCTTTATTTAATTTTCCCTGTCACAGTTGGTGACTTCAGAGCAATGGATCGACCAGGTCAGGCAGCAGGTGCTGAGGGTACAGAAGAGGAACTGGTGCTTAGGGTCACATCAGCACCCTGTGAAGTTTGCACGAAAGGCTGTGGAAAGCTATGCTGTCGGGCTGGAGAGATGGCTCAGTGGTCTAAAGCACCTACTTAGAACAAGCTTGGCAAAGCATCAGGGACCGCGGTTCAATCCCCCAGCACCACATGCCAGC